GGGGCAGCGCAGTGACGAGGCAGTGTGCCTGGCAGCAAGCCTTCAACGCCACGGCTGTGGTGCGACACATGCGGAAGCTGCAGCTGGGAACGAGCCAGGAGGGCCCTGGGCAGATGACACCGAGCAGCCCCTGCCATGGCCAGTGGCTGGGGGGGGGCTCCAGCACCAGTGAGCCCTGACCCCCGCTCTGTGCCATTCTGCACCCTCATGGGTCTGGGGGTGCTGCAAGGCTCTCACCCCACATTCCTCCCCACGAAGCAGGGTTGGATTGTGAGCGGGTGCCAGCAAACAGAACCCCCCGCCTGCCCCCTGACTGAGGGGGTCTGGAGATCCCATGGGCACAACACAGGGTATGGGGTGGGTCCACGGGGGTCCTGCTGCCTCCCCATCTGCTCCCTTTGGGAGGGAGTGGTAGTAAGGGAGGGCAACCTGCCCTGCTCCTCACCATCTCCTGGAGTGAGCCCCATGGCTGTGGAGCATGCATGGGAAGCCCCCAGGAGCCCCCCCACACCAGCCAATGGGGGCTGCAGCCCAGCTCCCTCCTCCCCCCTTCCTACATCTGCCCCCCAGCATGTTCAAAGAGAATTTTCCAAATGGACATTTCTATTTTATTCCTTGTAATAAAGGAAATAGACAAATGGTGCCTGGCCTGGCTTGTCTCCCAGAGGCCAGCATACAGTGGGCAGAAGACGGATAAACTCTGCTCTCAGACCCCCCTATGCCCACTTCCCTAGGAGCACCCAGCCCCACGGCTTGCCTGGCTGCGGCCCCTCCTGGCCTGGCTCCGACTGTCCCGGTCCTTGCGGAGATCAGCGCAGAAGAGGACCTGTGGGGGGGAATGAGAGGTGCTGGGTGGGCACAACTGGGAGGGACAACCAGGTGTGTGTGTGGGGGAGATTGATACTCACCGCTTGTGCCCAGCCTGCATAGGGGCCCCACAGTTCACGGAAGAAGTCACCTGTGGAGAGATCAGAACCAGAAATGGGGGCTCAGCCCGTGCACCACAAAGCTGTGGCTGTTGGCTTGTGCCCTCACCGATCTCCTGGTGCACCCGGGCAGTCAGGGAGCGGGCACCCAGTGCTGCCCCGTAGCGCTGCCTGGCAATGTTCCACACATGGGTGTCCACCGGCACTGCCTCTGTCTTGTCCAGGGCCATCAGGCACACGCAGTCAGCCACCTGCCACGTGACGTACCATCAGCCCTGCCACCACCCTGTCCCCATCCCCACGCCATCACCCACCTTGGCCCCCACTCCTGGCAGGGCACACAGCACCCTCCTGGCCTCAGCATAGGGCATGGCCCGCAGCTGGCACAGCCCCTCGGCACCCATTCCCTCGGCGATGGCGCGTGCTGTGCCGCTGACAAAGCGGGCTCGATAGCCAAAGCCCAGCGCCCGCAGCTTGGCCTCTGCTTCAGAGCCTGTGGGAGGACAGCCGTGGAATGGGGACGAGGGGACGAATGCGGGGACAAAAGGATGGCTGCCGACCTGCCAGCGCTGCCAGGGAGGGGAAGGCGTGGAAGGGCTGCTCGTCCAGCAAGCAGAGCTGTCGGCCGAAGGCCTGGCAGAGGCGCTCGATCATGGTGGTGATGCGGGCCACGTGGTTGTTGGAGGTGCAGATGAAGGACAGTAGGCACTCCACAGGGTCCTGCCGCAACACCCGCACCCCTGTGGCACCACGGGTCAGTGGGGCCCAGCAGGCAGGCGCTGCCATCACCCCATGGAGCTGTCCCACCTGGGAAGGCGGTGGCTGGCTGGCAGAAGAGGGGGTCAGCCGCCCCCCAGGCGCGATACAGGGCCGCCAGCCCCACATCCAGCTGGAAGTAATCCCACAGGATCTGGTCAGTTTCGGGGCCAGGCGTCTCCTTGCCATACACCGTGTACCACAGGCGGTCCCGCTCCTGGCGCAGCGTCCACACGCGGTCACCCAGCACTCCTGTCCACGCACCGGGGCTGCTCTCCCGCCACCTGCCAGGCACCGGGCGTCAGGCTGTGCCGAATGGCCTCATACGGCCCCGACGTCTGACCGGAAGGCCCTCTGTCTCACCGGAAGGCCTGCCCGGATGCCAGCACCAGGTCCAGGCGCAGCTCAGCTGGAGGGCAGCGCAGCCACCGCCACAGGGCCGGGCAGGCCGCGGGGGTATCCCGCAGCGCCATGGGGGCGGCTGTGGCCCCGCAGAGGCAATAGGCTGAGGGCTGCACTCTCACGCCATGACGCCCACCTGCACCCATGGCACACCCAGGTGAGGACGCCCGCAGGTGCCCGTTTGTCCCACAGTGCTCCACAGCCCCCTGCCCCGCACCCCCATCCATCTCCGCCCCCGTCGCACACCCCACGTACCCCCCCATATCCTCTCTCACCCCTCCCGTCCTCACGCCGCCCCAAAGCCCGCTCCCCGCCCCGTTCGGTACCCCCAGCCACCGCCACCACCATAGAGCTCCCCCCACCCAGGCACGCAGAGCGCCGCTTCCCGCTCTTTTGGCGCCGCTCTGGCCCACTTCCGGCCTCTCGCTGGCCCAACCCCGGAAGTACCTTGTCCCTCCCTCCGCCCCACTCCCGTTACGGCGGTGGCGGGCAGGGCGGCTCCGTACGAACCAATAGATTTTTTTTTTTTTCCTCCAAAATAAATACAAACACGTCCGAGCGCGGGGCCGCCGCCCCCGTTCCGTTCCCGGGGCCGCCCCCCCCCCTCCCGGGGGGAATAATTTAAAGGGCAGGGCTGTACAGTATTTACAGCTCTGGGGGCACCGGGAAGGCGGGGGGAGCCCCCCCAAGGCCGCAGGCCAGCTGCAGCGGGCCCGGTGCCGCGGTGCGTCAGTCGCTCTCACTGGAGTCACTGCTCTGCTCGCCCTGCACCTTGTTGCGGTGCTGCATGGCGCGGTGGTAGGCGATCTGCACCGACTTGCGGATGTTGGACTTGCGGCCCTCCAGCATCTTCTCCTTGTCCAGGTCCTGGTTGACGCCCAGCGGCACCAGCTTGGTGCGGGGCAGCCACTGCCTGCGGGGAGCGGGGAGCCACCTCGTTTGAGGGTTACGGGCGGCTGCGCGCTCCCCCCGGCGGCACCGCCGGTTTCCCAGCCCCTCCCCGACCCCCCCAGGCCTCACCAAGTGCGCTTGTTGTCAAAGAAGAGGACAAGGTAGAGGTGCTCGCGCGCTTCCTGAGTCATCTGCTCGCCCAGCTTCAGCACCTCCAGCGGCGGCACAGGGATGGGGACGCCGTGGTGGAACATGCCCTCTCGCGGCATCTTGGGGTCGATGATCTGCCAGGGAGGAGGGGCCGATGCTGAGGCAGGGGACTAAACCCACCCTGGTCACAGCTCCGTTCCTCCAGAAGCAAGAGCTGTGAGCCCGCCTCTCATCCCACTGATGGTACGAAGACTATCCCTGGCACTGGGATGGGATTCTGGGACATGCATATAGGTGGCCACACTCACCAGTGCCGGGTAGGAGGGGTAGCCCCGGCACTTGGCCCACACCAGATCCAAAGCGTCCAGGGAAGAATCCTCATCTTCAGAGAGCCACCCTGCACCACGGCCAATGCCCTTCCGCACCACTGCACCAAGAAAAGGGAGAGAGAGGACTCAGACACGGCCCTTGCGGCTGATAGAACAGGCAGGTGTGTGGCTGGAAAGCTGTGACACTTACTGCTGTGCCCCACGCCTCGCCCGGCACCCACAGAGTAGGATTCGTTCTCTGTTCCTGATGTGTCCTCGCTGCTGTCCTCAGGGAAGTTCACGCGGGAGAAGGAGGGCTTCCCCCTCCCCTGCTTTGAGGGCGTTGTGCTAAGACAGGGAGCAGAGCTGTGAGCAGCAGTCACACTGAGCTTCCAGAAACTGCTTTCTGAGTGTCATCGTGAGGGCTCAGAAAGCTCACCCAGCACCATGGACTCAGCAGGCGTACAAAAGGCAGACCAATGGTGTTTCTGCCTGGAACCCGTAGCCCTGCCTCACCTGGGTGAGTGTACGCTCACCCAAGCATGGTACAGAGCAAAAAAAAAAGCACAAATCCCACACCCAGGCCTGCAGCCCTCTAGCACTGGCCAGCAGGAGAGTGAAAGGGAGAGGCACAGTAACACACCTCACCCAGCAGATGCCCGTGGCAGTGGCACACCCAGAGGCAGGCAACATACCTGGTACGGTCTGAGGCAGCACTGCTGCTACTGCTGCTGCTGGACTCGGAATCGGAGCTGCTGCGTGGAAGGTTACAGTCATTGCGGTACACCAGGAAGCTCTTCTTCACTGGCTGGTTCCCACTGCTGAAGCCATTGGCCGGCAGGTCTGCAGATAACAAACAGAGGAGCATTAGGAGGGCACGGTGCCCTTGATGTGCTTCTTGCAGTGCTGTGGCTGCTGCACTCACCCATGGGAGCGTCTTCGGTGGATTTGTCGCTGTCGCTATCGGAGCTGGAGCTGGGCCGTGGGCTTCGCCCCCGCTTCCTCTGCCGCTGGGAGGACCCCATAATGGGGAGCTGAGGGGGGCCTATGGGGCTGTTCCCATGCCCAGGAGCTATCTGGCTGTCTCGATTCTTGGGGGGGCGTCCTGGACGTTTTGGAGGTCCTGCAGTTTTAGGATTCTTCTTGGAGAAGAGCACTGAGGTCCTCCTGCCCACTTCATGTGCTGGAGTGGAAGAAGAATTGGGACCCAGACCTGGAGGAGGGATCAGGAAAAGGCATCAGCCACAGCCTGCAGGACCTGTCAGGGAAGGGGTGGCAGTGGCCGAAAGGAACAGTTTCATTTCTCAAAGCTCCACTGCAACCTCGAAAACCGATGCTCCTAAATGCTCCTGCTTGTATGAGAGCCTGCTTTTTCAGGTCTTAGGGGAACAGAATGCCAAGGTGACAAACATCAGTGACACCTGCTGGCTCTGCCTAGGGACTTTGCAAGGTGGCAACTGAGCTGTGCGCTCTGAGGAGCGTGGCTCAGCACCTGCTCCCATCAGCTCCCAGCACCAGGGAGCTTGCAGCTGGCATGTACTTCGCTCCCAGCCCCTGCAGAGCATTTGGAGCGTGGCCATTCCCTGCTGCAAGCAAGCAGTCAGCCTGGGGAAAGTGAGCAGCAAGGAAAGTGGTGAGAGATGAGGGAATCCTCCAGACAGACCGCCTGCCTGGATCCTAAGGAGTTGCTATGGGTGAGGTTTGTGTGCAGGGCCCCCTGCCTTAGCTCTACTACACAGCCTGTCCAGGTGTGGTTCTCTGCCATTCCCCAGCAAACAGCAGCATTTTGGAGCAGTACCTTTGCCAGTCTCCTGGCTGCTGCTCTCCTCAGCAGCACTGTCTGTCTGAAGGTCCTTCTCGCAGGGGTTGTGTGACTGCAGGACCCCCCTGGCAGAGGAGCTGTGCCGCTCCAACCCATCTCGGCCCAGGTCCCGGGGGTGTGCCAGCTTCCGCCGCAGGACTGTGATCTCCTTCTTGATCATCTTGGCCCGGCGGGACCGTCCTATGCTCTGCTTGCCAGCATTGACCTCATCCAGCCGCTCCAGCAAGATCTTCAACTGCTCCTCCAAGGGCAGGTGCTTCTGATTTTCCGAGAGCAGCAGTCGCATGTCTTCTGAGGGCACAAAGAAGATGAAAGGAATCAGAAACTTTTTGGAGACCCTTTACATAGAAGGGCATGGACTTCCCTTCAGTAGGAAAATAATGCAGTACCAAACACCCATGAGCACAGAATGTTACCAAAAGACACCCTGAGAAAGAGCCCTGTGGAAAGCAAGCTAGTTGGGACTACTGGGGAAGGCAAGCTGATCTGCAGCACAGGGAATGCTAAGGATTCCCATCAGCTGAGGCAAGATACAGCAATAAAAAAGAAAGGGATTTGTAACAGGAAGGATACAGCAGAAATACATGAGCTGAAGTGACTCTGAAGTATTCAAGTGTAGGGAAGTTCTACTGCCTGAACCCTTCAACTGCACCTTCAGCCCTTCACATGCTCAAACAGGGAGAGGAGGACCCTAAAATGACCCTTCTCAGGCGAGTTGTTCCTGGTGGCATTCCCCACTGCCCAGCAGGAGACAGCAAGAACAGCCTTAAGTCGCCCAACTGTTGGGACTTAAGCTCTGAGTAGCTCTCCTACACGAGGACAGGGGACAAGCACCCACCATCCTCGATGTCCTGGACCTGAGCCTCTTCTACAGTCACGCAGTGTGGGAAATGCATGCCTGTCTCAAAGTCAATGCCCATCTTCTCCGCCTGCCGTCGAGCCTGCCGCAGAACCACGCCTCCCTGCTCCCGCAGACGGACGGCTGCCCGGTAGAAGATAGTGTCTTTGGCATTGTATTTCAAACAGTTGTTGATAATCAGGTTGAAATCTTCCTCAAAGTCATCAAAATTCAGGTAACGGTACGCTTCCAGGTTTTGCTTCATTGTCTGAAAATCCATCGGCTTCTTGATGTGATCCAGGTAGTCTGGGACCTGTATTGAGAAAAGAGCCTGTGCTAAAGAGCCTGGAGACCCCCGTTAGTACCACCTGCTCCAAGAAAACAGTTGTTAGAGGAATCAGGTATTGCTCCCCAGTGCTCTGTCCAAATGCACATCTGGAAAAGCTGCCTGCCTTTGCAGCTAGAGGAACTGTGGCCCAGCAATGCCTCTGGACTAGAGTCCACGTGCTGTACTCAACCTATTAGAGCAGACACACACTTTGAAACATTTTTGTGCAGCTTCTCAGGGATGAGGGTAAGTACAGACACGTAGAACAGATTGGTCTGGGTGGGAGTAATAGCTGTGGGTGGGACCACGCAGCCAGGACACCTCCAAGCTCACCAGCTGCCAAGAGCTGCACAGCACTAGCACTCCCTCTCCCATCTCCCCAAGCAGGGAATCACCACTGATGTTCTCAGAAATCACTTCCTTTGCCCCCAGAAGGGACATTTCTGTGCTGTGCTCAGCCTGTTTGCAAGCAAAGGGTTTTGCAGGAGGACACATAAGAGCATGCCACCTGCCTGGGGCTGAGTGCAGGAATTCTGCCTTTCCCAGCAGAAGCACCTAACCTGTCACAGACAGTGGGAAATCACCAGTAACAAAAGCAGAGGAGCTGAGTGCTGTGCTGCTGGCCGCCAGCAACTGCCAGCACCACCCCTTCTGCTGTGCATTTGGCTCTCCCAGGATAGGCAGTGCTGCACACATCCCCCTTGAGTGCGTGGTGTCGGGACTGGAAACCATCAGCAGGCTGCCCAGAGGGCTTCTGGAGCAGAGCCCCATGGGCAGCCCTTAGTGTGAGCAAGGGACAAGTGTGAGTGAAGTAGAAATCTGGGTGAGGGGGTTCTTACTTCGTAGATTTCTGTTACCTCAGACAGAGGGACCGGCTCACTGAAGATGTTGCCCGTGTCTTTCTCCTGCAGGTGCTCGAGCGTCTTGCGGAGGAGGATGAGGAAGGGGGTCAGCTGCATCTCCAGTGCCACCTGCTGCACCTTGATCTGAAAGA